TATTGAAGTCACTTACTCATATATTATCCCTCAAGGTTTGGCTAGTAATGGCTCAGCATCCTTGATGAAATCCACTGTCACCATAACAAGACGCTGTACAGCATCTTATACAAGCACTGTCAACGATCTAAAATGGTTTTTATATAGCTTTCTACGTGTTTATCAACTTACTCGTACGGAGCAACCATGCTGTGACAAATGGCGGGCTATGGGTGACTTGAGTGCAGTAAAACAAATCTGCTTGAAATTGACCAATATTAATCTGCATTCAGTTGAATTCACATCTCGTATTACTTGCAAAAAAACGATGTCAAAATCATAAAAGTTAATCACTCATTTTAAATTAATACCCAACTTGAACATAAAACAAGATACGATGCCGCACACAACAAAGTTATATGGAGGAATTGACTTCAAGCTTTATTTTTTCCCAAATATTTGTAATTTATCCGACACATACTTGGGTTTTTTTGTTAATCCGAAGACAATATTTCTTTATTTGCTCCACTGAACGACTAACTATCAGAATGAGCTCACTAATTGATGTCAGAGGAGAGCAACCATGTAATTTCACCATAAATCAAATTCATGTAATTTAAATAATACTTATCCATGCCTGTACAACTGGTGTGTCCTACATTGATAGGAAAATATATATTATGATTATCATTACTAACTATACTTACTAATCGTATGTGTAATTTATCGAATTGATGATGCCTGTAAACTGACGCCCCTCAGGTAGAAAAATGAGAGTATAATATTATTACTATCACAAGGACAGATGTACACTCGTTGGGCACCATATATACCTCATCAACTATAACCCACCTTTCCTTAGATAATGTGACGAACTTATATCCATAATGTTGCTGAGCAGTTAACATTCTCAACTCCTGTCGGAACAGCTGAAATTCATAAACCTTCCTCACGCTAAGAAAATACCCACGAGCAGTAGAAATTCATTATTTATGCGTCTAAAGCATATGTTTGTTAACTCCCAACAATGACATTGCAGATCAATTGAGATAAACATATCACTGATTTCAAAATAACACATCAATGAACTATAATTCAAGGATTCTGCACACAACGAAGTTATGTATGAAAACTGACTTCAAGCTCTATTTTTTCTCCCAGGCACTTATAATCCATCCACCAAAGACCTGGTTTTTTTGTGAATGCGAAGACATACATTATTATTATTATGACAATACTTCTGTATTTCCTGATGTGTTGCACCCACTGACAATCTAGCAGATTTTTCCAACTGTGCACAGAAACAGATTGTATATAAGTGAAAAGGCTGTTTTATACTACTGGGATTAACATTTATCAAGTGCATGTATAATCTCCAGCGAACATGTAAAGCATATCTTGCTACTGCCTGTAAATTGTGATTGAATTATATGGTTCTATTTCTGTAACAATTTGATGATGCCTGTAAACTGGCGTTCCTCATGTACCGTACTATGAGAATCAATTTATTTATTTAATTTCTTGCTAGCATAGCGAACAGTCTACAGCTAAGGCAAGACATATTTCCCGGTAGATAGCTGACACCGTGTAGACACCAGACGCCGATATTATTCTACATTTGTCCTATTAGAGTTATAAGCATTCAGTTTTCCTGAGCGGCATTGATTTTGGCATGGGGTTAAATCAGGTGCGACCCTAGTGTTAGTGTTGGGTGTTGAAGGACCTATTATCTTACCGGATTTCAGAAAATTCCTGGATTCTTCAATTGACCTGAACTTGAAAAGCGCCGAACATGAGAGTTTTGCAGATTTCTTACGAAGACGCAAAACCTGACATTCTGTCAACGACATATTAAAAGCCTTCAGACACGAAGTCTTAAGTTTGGCAATAGGCTCTCTGTCTGGAATGTTGTAGGACAAGACGTTATGTGAAGACATAATCCTCTCAACAGCTTCAGGCAAATAGTCAGTTATGAGCTCGCATTTGATAAGTGATTCAGGACAGATATTTTGTGATGGGTCACACAGTTGCGCTAGGGGCATAATGGTGTCAAACTTGCTCTGTATGTCTGCTATTAACTTCTGAAGTGTCAGTAAATCATCTCTGTCGGTTCCTCCATGATATCAGATACCATAACGCTGGATCTGTCTGGTGTCAAAAGTGTAGAACCGTCAACGTAGCTGAAGCCTTCAGATGGTTGACGAGTATTAGATCTCATACTCTTAAGGGCAATTACACGTTTGATAGACTTAACCATCACAGAAACAAGAATTTTCACGATTTCCGGTAAAAAGTCTTGAGGATATAAAAAAGATAGCTGTATAATCGAAGTATCGAAACAACAACGATAAACATATATATGTTGCAAAATAAAAGGTCAGGCTTTCCTTTAACAGAGCTTACTGTGGATAAAATCCTGAGCTGAATGAAGCCACTCATACAGTCATCGCCAGTGCCCTTCATAACCATGTTATCTCGGGTATAGAAGCAAAGATTAGGTGCTTGTATCATGGAGGTGCTTATAACTTCGAAACGAGAATACCGAAGAGTGTGAAGCGGTGCAACCACCCTTGATATGTAATTTAGTGGCCATCGAATTCCTCTGTTCGGGACTCCACAAACACTACACTGTTACCACAATGTTTTCTTTAGGGGGCAACTTATTGCTAACATCTGGAGTGCTTTCCGCATGACTGTGTTCCACCTACATGGTTGTTTATTACTCAATGGACAGTGGTTTAGTTTTTGATTCCTTTACATTCTCAGTGGAGCAAGGCTTCAAACTAGAGCTTTGCAGTTTCGGTAGCAGTGGCATTTTTTACGGGGTGGAGTTACTAGCCTAATGCCCAACCTCCCTTCTTTACTAGTCTTATTGCCGGCTAGGCGAGGCAAAGGTGTGCGTCGACCAAGGATAGAACCCTGCACCACAAGCATGGCTGGCGAGCGTTCTAACGTTAGGCCACCGACGGCTGAGTGGTTTACTGGAAAGCACTAATCGGACAGTTAGTGCCCTTCGCCGTTCTCTCTGTCGATTGAAGATAAATACCTGGAATAATGTAATAGTCCTCCCTCAATCCCCGACCACTCCTTCGTTCATTCAGCCACGGATTTTTCTCCCACCCTATTTTTGTTTACTAACGAATCACGTCTCATAGTTGAGGTTCAAACACCAGTCCTAACTTTTGCTCAGATAGGTTCGAGAATCGCGTAATTGATTGGCAATAGCCTATGATATGGCATGCACCAGAGATCTGTCATCTAGCTATCAGTGCAAAAATACCTATGGTCTTTCTATTTGCGGATCTTTTCACCCAAATGACATCTATTTTCATTTCCACTACACATGGTGAAAATCCTACTGTCCACCTCAGAGGCCATTTAAAATCACGCATGCACAACATCTAAATACGTATTTCATGAAAGATTATCATTATTGCTACTCACTGTAGTCAGCTGGGACCCTACCGTGCATTCTATCACGACAACCTCAAATTCTACAAACCAGGCGATTGATGAACAGTGTACCAAGTCTCTTAAACTTGGCACTGAGGAGAGGAGACAGAGCAACGAAAAGAGACTGTATAGACTGCAAGGAATTCACCCACACTCTTTCAGTTTGATTCATGCTCACTTTACGCATGCTGTTCAACATGTGTTCTGTTTTGTTTATCTGAGTGCTCACTCATTGCCTGAAGACATTGGCGGGCTCCCGAGAAGTTACTCAGCGTGTCGTTACTATGAGCGAGAGCA